GGCCCCACATACTACCAGAGACTGAAGCATATTGTCGACGATAAGATCCATTCACGAGGAGGGGGTCCAGGGGAGATCCTCACAAGGCAGCCAGCTGAGGGACGATCTAGAAAAGGTGGTCTACGCTTCGGGGAAAATAAAAGGCTGCCTTTGGGCAGCATGAAAGGGGAGACTGCAACGAGATAGAGAAAAGAAGGAAAGACAAGGGCTGCCCTTGGCAGCGTGAGAGAGAGGCGCAGAGTGTGGGAGGCGGAAAGAATAAAATAAAAAAGAAAGCTGCCTTGCAGCACAGCGCCAGGCAGGACAGAGAGACTGACGCGGAAAGGAAAGCAGAACAGCTGCTTGGCAGCGTACGTGGGGAGAGAGGAAACGCAGAAAAGAGGGAAGTCAGGGAGGACGCCAGTGAAGAAAGCAGCAAGCTGTTCTTCTCTCTCGGTTAAATCTTTCCAAACTTATATTTTATTTCTGTTTTAATAATGTGTAACTAAATTTATTTTGGCTAGAGGTTAATTCAAAGCCATGAATATATTTGTAATATGAATTAATTACCTTCAGTTGTGATTTAATTTGCTTAACTGCTTGATTGATAACTTATTTTTGTATGTCGATTAAGGATGCATACTTAATTTACATGCATGAATTTGATGCTAGAATATAAGTGAATTTCACCTAATCGTTATGAACTTATATTCACAAGTAGTGAAGGTTGTTATCCACAATCGTGTTAAGTGAATTCTTGGCAAGAGTATCATGCTTTTCATAGTTACGAATGCCTCGTCAATGCTTATAGTTTTCACAAAGTTTAATGATCTTTGATTGTATCTCTATTGTGCTTTTCACGTAGGGGACTTTTGAAGAATGTTTTGAATTGTTGTATGCGTTTCCCGTCCAATTCAATAACTTAAGGAAAACTTGAAGATTAAAAAAGTGCTGTTCACGGTTAATCTGAAGTGTTGAGATTCACAACTTATTGAAAGAACAACTGAAAATCAATTTAGGCTGCATATGTGTCATGTGTAGAGAAGAACCCTCTAGTTAATCCATCACCTATCCTTTCACCTTAATTTCATGCTTTTGTCAATTCTGTAATTTATTTAAGTTTAATTTACTTCTCGTCAAAACCAAACCCCCCCATTATTAAATTATATTATTTAGTTAGTGTTCATTGTTGTTAGTCTTTTAATTAAATTTCCGTCCATTTTAGTTCCTAGTGTCTAATTTGATTGTTTTCATTATTTTGAGTCATTCTAAGTGTGTTTCGAGTTATTAGAGTTTTTAGCCTAGTTTTGTGTCCTTGAGTCTTGTTTAATATTTTTAAATTAATTTAGAATAGATTAGCAATCCCTCCTAATCCCCGGCCGAGAACGATACCCTACTTACATCTATACTACAATTGTCAAAATGAGGGTTTAATTTGTGTGCTTATATATTTCGCATCAACCACTCATTTGGCATCTTTTTCGTTTTCAAAATTCTATTGAAAAGGTCTGTGAGCCATGTTGTACCCGTCTCTCCCAAGATTTTCCACACTTCGATTGGTATATCATCTGGGCCCACTGCTTTTATATGCTTCATCTTTTTCAAAGCTACAACCACTTCTTCCTTCTTAATTCGGCGGTAAAAGGAGTAGTTTCTACACTTTTCTGAGTTACTCAACTCCCCTAAAGAAGTACTCATTTCATGTCCTTCATTGAAAAGATTATGAAAATAATCTCTCCATCTGTCTTTAACCGCGTTCTTTGTAGCAAGAACATTTCCATCATCATCCTTGATGCACCTCACTTGGTTTAGGTCCCTTGTCTTCTTTTCCCTTGCTCTAGCTAGTTTATAGATATTCAACTCTCCTTCTTTGGTATCTAGTCGCTTATACATATCGTCATAAGCCGCTAGCTTAGCTTCTCTCACAACTTTCTTCGCCTCCTGCTTCGCTATTCTATACCTTTCACCATTTTCATTGGTCCTATCCTTGTATAAGGGTTTACAACATTCATTCTTAGCCTTCACCTTTGTTTGTACCTCCTCATTCCACCACCAAGATTCCTTTTGGTGTGTAGCAGAGCCCTTGGACTTTCCTAATACCTCTTTTGCTACTTTTCGGATACAACTAGCCATGGAATCCCACATTTGGCTAGCTTCCCCCTCTCTATCCCACACGCATTGGGTGATTACTTTCTCTTTGAAAATGACTTGTTTTTCTCCTTTTAAATTCCACCATCTAGTCCTTGGGCACTTCCAGGTCTTGTTCTTTTTTCTCTCTCTTTTGATATGTACATCCATCACCAACAAGTGATATTGATTAGCTAAGCTCTCTCCCAGTATAACTTTGCAATCCTTACAAGTTATACGATCCCTTTTCCTCATTAGAAGAAAATCTATTTGTGTTTTTGACGACCCACTCTTGTAGGTGATCACATGTTCTTCTCTCTCTCTTAAAGAAGGTGTTGGCTAAAAAGAGATCATATGGAAGAGAGGGATGTCGAGAGAGCTAGCTCATTGTATCACTTTTCTTTGCATTTGGAAGAGAGGGATGTCAAGAGAGCTCTGCGTTTATGGGTTTTGGGTTGATTTCATACCTTTGATTTCAAACAAATAGAGGTGCGAAGAGTGAGGTCGGGGTTTTCAGGTTTGAACTCAGATTTGTGAGCTATGCGTGTTATTCTTCCATAACCAAACACAACAAATTCTTCAATCCTTAAAGATAGGATGTTTGTACCATATTTTCTGTTTTGGCCGGAAAGTTCCATTTTTTCCAGCAACAATTTTTGGTTCAATTGTTTAATTGCAGAATGTGAAATTTTTTCCATAATGTGCATATGGTGTGCATATAATGTGCATGACTACATATTAATATAAGAAGCAAGAATGTTCACTAGTTATGATGCACATATGTTGTGCCCTATAATTTAGCGAGTATGACCACAACCTAGTTGGCCTTGGCAGAAGACAAAATTAAGAAAAAACTTAGAGGACATTAAGGGTCATGCGTGTCCATGAAATAACGACAACGAGTATCATGTTTTCCATGTGCACGCTTCAGCGGTGATTGATATATGTAAGACTTTTCAAACTACCATTGTAATCTTATATATGTAACAATTATGTTTTAATTGTATCCAATATACCAATAGGTTTCCATTAAAGTTTCTTATTAATGCGAAAAGCAGCTCGTTGCTCGATCTTCAGTTCTGTACACATCATGTGCATGTATTGTATAAATGATGTGCATGTGGTGTGCATGTGGTGTGCATATAGTGTATATGGTGGTGACGTTACATGTGATGACATCATTTTTCTAATTTCAAAGATAGAGTTATGAGCTTTGGGTTTTTGAGTTGACTCAGATCTATGAGCATATCATGTGCATGTTGTGTGCATGAAAATGGAAATAGATGATTTTTAATGGGATTCCCAGAATTTAGGTTCAGGTTAGATTTGTGAACTATCTTTAAGGGATTTCTAGAATCTAGGCACCCATATATCCCCCAACGTCGTTAATTGCACGACGCACATCCATAACAAAACTAATGTTGTTGCACGTCTTGATACATATAACAAATTTGGGATTTTCTTCGAACTTAGAGGGAGAAGGCGTTCATTGGCAAAGGAGATAAAGAGATTGCAACAGAAAAAAATGGTGTCTTTAGTTTTTCATAATGGATTTTCTTCGACATTTGAAATTTTTTTGGATGCAAATTGGTTTTGACCCATATGGGTTTTGAATGAGATTTCGAATTTGGGGAAGAAGATGATTTGAGGAAGAAATCTCCAATCTGCTACTACAAGCACATAAATGTGTTCATTTCCCAAAAAGGCCAATCAGAAAACACAAACAATCTCCAACTAAATCAAATCTTCCAACTAGGTTTTCCATTATCTTTCACTTATCTAATAACAGCCAATAAATATCAATTTTAGAGAGAGAGAGAGAGAGAGAGAGAGAGAGAGTAGAAAGAGAGAAATCTAAAAATAGGAGGAAATAACCCATTTATAGACGAGGGCAATTTGGTCATTTCAAGGTGTAGGAAAAATCCTATTTCTGTCTGATTGTTATGCATGCCGTGTGCATATTCGAAAAATCCTATTTTTGTCCCAAGAATAAAAAAATAGGTCATTTTTTTCTATTTTCCTATTTTTTACCTTATTTGTTTGGTCCGTCCAAAATCGAAAGTAGATGTCCCTTAAGGCATTTCCACTCCATCCCATACCCTATCAAATTATCAATTAGGTGATTCAATCCCTCAAAACCAACAAAATCATCTCCAGCCCACAAACATGAGTCGGGTAATGGATTCAAGTAGTGGGATGGGGGATGGGCTCTTGTGCTTCTGAGTGCACATATCCGTATTGTGGACTTGTACATTTCCAGTCGTGACAACGATGATGTCAGCATGATAAAGCAATAAAATGTCAGCTTATTCCAACGTGAAAGTAAAGACTTTAATTTCGAATGTGAAAGCAACCAAATAACTCCTATATGTATGTGGAATATGGAATAGTTGTTGCCCACTTTTCTTTTGATATGTGTTTGGGCTTCGTTTTGTAATTAGCTCAATAAGAGAGGAAATAGGCTTAGTTGGTTGGTTGAACATTCCATTTAATTACTCAAAGCCCAAATTGATTTTAAGGGCTAGTGGGTTAAGGGAGCGGAAATAAATTCATCAACAATACACTTTTTATTGGAGGCCTATTTAACTGAATAATATAAAAGATAAAGAGAAAGGGGTGTGGCACAGCAAAGAGAGAAGAGAAATATGTGTGATTGTAAGGTGTGTGTTATGTCATCCATTGTGCCTTTATTTATAGTAGGAAAGGTAAATTTCTTGCCCCAATAAGATTACAACTCTAATAGGATTATAATATTTAATCTAAGAGATATGGTAGAATCCCACAAGAATATCCCAAGACATAATATGATTTACATGACCACATTCCTAAACAATTACGATTGCAACACTTTTAAATTCATCGATATTTTTACACTAACAGGTGAGAGGAATAAATTGATTGCAAACTATTTGTTTACTTATATATTAACGTACATCAAAAGTTGAAATAATAAAAAGTAGATCCGATAAATACAATAGTAGGAAAACAATTAAGGGGTGCAAATTTGGATTAGGTAAAACGAGGTTGGGAATGCTAGTTAGTACTAGCATGGTGGTTATAATGTGGTGAAGAGTATGATTCCTGATCATGTCGTCTCCCATTGGCCCTTCTAGTTTTTGGGTTTCTGATCCTTAATGTCGTTTATCTTTTCCAGAACTATCAAAACCTCTTGCATGGATGGTCTGATTTTAGGATCAGGTTCTAGGCATTTCAAAATAAGCTCAGCTGCTTGGCAGGCACCTTTTAAGGGGTATTCATCTCCAAGCCCTGGGTCCATTATCTTCTTCAGCTCCTTTTTCTTGTGAAGCAACGGACTCACCCAGTCTACCAAACTGTGCTCGCGAGATGGCCGATTACTGTCAAGTGCCCGTAATCCCGTTAGCATCTCCAGCAATACAACGCCGAAACCGTACACATCGCTCTTTACGTACAAGTGCCCTGCATGCATGCACGTTTAGTGGTTGGAAAATCTTCACCAAAGTCTGAATATATCTTTAACACTATGTTTGGATAAAAAAATTTAAAATTACTAAAGAATTTTAAAATAACAGAAATTAAAATGATGGAATTTTATTTTCTAGAATTTGTGGATTTTCTTGTTTGGTTAACTTAAAAGAACAATGGAATTAAATATGGAATTTGTTACTTTTAATTGTAGCTAGTCATCAACTAAGGTAATTAACGTACACAATCTTGAATTAAATATTTTGGAATTTGAATACTTTTATATACTTTTGAATGTTTCATCTGGAATTAATCTACTCGTTTATATACTTTTATTCAGGAAATTGTCAAATTGGGAGATATTTAAGTAATGTTAATTAAGGTATAGGTTGACAATGTGGTGACATATACATACCGAGGGGGTTAGAGTCCGATATAAAAATATATATATAGTAGCTTAAAAAATAAATTGGAAGTCATGTCACCAAATGCAAGAATCATTCTTGGCCATAAGTGCAAGAAGAAAGAGACCACCATCACCAAAGTCTGAATATATTTTAACACTATGTTTGGAAGAAAAAAAATTAAGATTACTAAGAAATTTTAAAATAATATAAATTAAAATGATGGAATTTTATTTTCTGGAATTTGTGGATTTTCTTATTTGGTTAACTTAAAAGAACAATGGAATTGAATACGGAATTTGTTATTTTTAAACTTTCAATTATAGAAACTGGGAAATGACATATATTTACATGAAATTTAAACTTAGGAATTGGAGGTCCCAAATTCCAAGTTTTTTTCCACGCAGAAATTCTAAATTTTTATATTTATAAATCCAAACAAGAAAATTAGTGTACGCCAATTTATAAATTCTGACTTTTATCTAAATTTTAAATTTATTATCCTCGTTCAAATATAGTGTAAAAGTATTATTATTATAGCGTGTGGAAATCGTCTATTATTGACCAAGTCCAAAGCCAACATAGAGTTTCTCTCCTTTTCCCGCTGAACCAAAAGAATAAAAAGAACAGTTAAAAAAAAGGAATAAAAAGAAAGGAAAACTAATGAAAAGGGCTTGAAAACTTTAAGTTTTAATGATAAGGACAAAATAAAGGGTAAAGTGAATAGTACTAGATTTGACTTTTTAGTGTAAAAATGTGGTTTTTCATTAAAGTGAACAGTACCGTGGGCTTTTCGTTAAAACTCCCTAAAAAGAAAGCCACTACTTAAACATCAATAGGTCCGAGTAAAGCTGGGTCTAGTAACAAAAAACGTGATTTTGAAATTTGATGTGATCGATCAAACAATTGATTATCTAATTTAACCCATTGGTTTTGGATTTAGTGTTATTCTCCTCCCGAAATTTTGAAAAGATTCCAAGTTGGAATTTGTTGGAGGTAGGCTACAGTTCATATAATTAAACTCCAAAATAATAACAACACTCAATGATAACTAAGAAAAAGTTGTATGATTGATCTATCTTCATGTGAATCTATTTTGTTAAGAGAATAAGGCTTGTCAACTTTTTGCTTCCTTTTTTTTAATTTTGCCCTCACTTTTGAATACACAATGTTGACATGAAGAGGGCAAAATAATAATTTTGTACCTTTTAACAAAATGACAATCATATCCTCATTTTTCCTATTTTGCTCACTTTTGATACATAATATTTACATAATGAGGGCAAAATAGTAATTTTGTATCAAAATATTTACATAAGATAAAAATATGTACTTATTTAGAGAAATTGTCCCATCATCATTTTTTTATATAGGTAAGTGAAATCATGATGTTTTTTTAGATATGAATGAACTGAAGCAGTTACACTTGAAGATAACGTAAGAGGAGGTGGGCGGTTGTTCACACACACAAAGTATGTGCTCTTTGCGAATATATATAAATAAGAAGACTATATCCAACTGTTAAGATAATAATTATATTAAATATATATAAACTTTGTCACTTAATACTACAATCTAGTGGTATTCTTCTTTACATGTAAGTGAGAAGTCTTAGGTTTGATTATCGCCAAAGACAAATTTAAACAACATTATTGCTAGCCCATTGTGAGGCTTGGCCTACCCCCTCTCTCATAGTGTAAATAATATCGTTTGTTAAAAAAAAAATAGCGAGGAAGGCAAGTAGTGTAGATCCCAAAGACCAAACCATACCATTATATATATAATAATATAAATATGTTTTACATATATTTTACTAGTCTAATTGTGTATAATTGCATACAGGCCCTTTATACAAAGGGATTTCCATTTTTTGAAAAAAAATGGGGATTAGGTGTCGGGCCCACTCTACATCGAATTTCAACGATCCAAACCGTTTATTTTGTTAATCTCAATTCATAGATTATCCTTGGAAAAATTCAATTCAATCGGAAACCATATGTCTATTTAACTATCAAGATCAAATTTCATTATTTTTTATATAACAAAGTATTCGTTCATTTCTTTAAACTCAATTAGATGTCTTAAATATTTATGATTTGGCTAATATTTTGCAAGGATGATCTTTGAGGTATAACTTGAAAAATGAACGGTTCGAATTGTTAAAATTTGATGTGATGTGGATCCCACAACTAATCCCTATTTTTATATAAAATAAGGAGAGAAAAAATAGGCATCCTTTCTCTTAAAGTCTTTCTAATTGCATATATGAACCTCTTGTTGACTTTATCAATTCCACGTGGTATCTCAATGTGATATTGGCTAAATATGAAAGTGGGAATTTTTTATTGTTTGTGCAAATCAAATAGCTTCTAGAGGCCGTGCTTCCTTACGAAATTCTAATGTCTCATTTGTCAGCTCAGACTGTACTGACTATATCTGTCAGATATGATAAATAGTCACCGGACAGTACTGACTAAATTAGTCGGGCGTTTGGTGCAGTATCGGATTAATGACCGTATTATTTATATAGTGTTTGGTATTATATCGGATAAGAGGAAACTTAAAATAAAATTAAACTTAAAAAAAAAAATGAAACCCATATCTCTCCGCCGCACCCCCAAACTCCCTCCCTCTCTCCCTTCTTGTTCCCCGACTACAGAACAGAACAATCCCAAATAATGAAACCCAGATCTCTCCGTCGCACCCCCAAACTCCTTCCCTCTCTCCCTTCTTCTTCCTCGACTACAGAACAGAAGAATCCCAAATAATGAAACCCAGATCTCTCCGCCGCACCCCCAAACTCCTTCCCTCTCTCTCTTCTTCTTCTCTTTCCCCGACTGCAAAAGATTCACTAGCCTGGGCTCAGCCTTGGCCTCTGACAATTTCTGGAAGGGCTCCCTTCGGGGTAAAGCCCTGCAATTCTAAGTCCAAATTTCTTGCTACCTTCACAATCTCCTGATTCAAAGTTCCCAGGTTCCTCACCTGTTAGTTGCAGGCGATGGTAGAAGGAGCGGAGAGCGAGAGTGAGAACGAGCGGAAGTTCCCAGGTTCCTCACCTGCCAGTTGCAGGCGATGGCAGAAGGAGCGGAGAGCGAGAGTGAGAAGGAGCGGAGAGCGAGAACGAGCAAGAGGCCGACTAAGTTATACGTTATACGGAGAAATTGGACGGGATTAGGAAGCAGGTATACACAGGGTAAAAAAGGTGGGCCCGGATTATTTAATCCGGTGCTTATTTAATCCCAACGGCACCAAACACCGTACACCGTATTATTATTACTATCCGGTATTTTATACGGTGTGCCAAACAGGGCCTAAGTTTTCTTTTAGGAGAGTAACGTAAGTAATTTGAAGGTTTTTATTTAACAAAAGTAATTTTAAGTTAACACGAAAATTATTATGTGCTTTTTTTGGCTAACTATTATTATGTGCTTGGATACACTAACTATGGAGAATTTTTTAGTGTGTCCAAGGTAATGTATTACTACATGTTATAACACAAATAGACAACAACAATAGTGAAGAAAAATCTACCTCACCCAAATTCTAACAAGTCTATAATCAATAATGAATCTATGACATGATGTAAAGGTAATTGGAACCAAAACACATAATTGAATTTTGATTACGTCATACTTCAATGTTTACCGTATATTGGAGAATGAAAAAGTTGGTGGGACCCATGCAAAGTTCGAAATCCAACTCCAAAATGGGAAGAATTGAATTCCTTACATTTAGGTGATATTTGAATTTCTCATTGTTGGGGAATCCGAAATGGATCTTTCCCTCCCATTATACCATCACTTATTTATAAAATTCCAAAATTGCCATTCGCATTAAGCCAACACCACTAACCGCTGCCCAATTTATGAAAAAATTTTATTCTTGCTAAATAAAATTAAAAAATTAAATTTTAGTGCGTTTAATATTTAGTGAATAGAAGCATCTAACCCTTTTTTTCTTTCTATTAGTTAGTATATAAAATTCAACAAGAATATTGATTTTCAGAATTAGTAAATAGTTTATATGTAATTTATACCAATTTTATTCTGATTACAGAAGGTTTTTTTTTTTTTTTAATAAACAACTTCAACATGAATCCAATTTCGACTCCTCATCAGTTCAATTTCTCTTCAAAGTTCCTTCCATTTTAATTACGGATTGGTAAACGAGCTATTAGAGTGAAGAGTTTTTTATTTTATTTTTTTAATTTTTTAATTTTTTTAAAATTTTTTATGAACAGAATGAAGAGTTTAGAGCCAACAAGATCCTCTCCGGATCTTTTTTGAGATCCGTGAATCGTGTCCGTTCATTGTACATCATGTGGTTAGTTTTTGTTAGGTACTGTTTATGTTTAATTTTAAATAAAAATATGTAAAATGATTTCTGACTGTATGATGTACGATAAACGGACACGATTTACAGATCCTGGGTTCCTCATAAAGAGGATCCAGTGAGGATCTGGATTCGAGTTTAGAGTTCTATATTTGGGCTATACATATTAATGATTGGACGCATGTTGTCACTATTTATGTGGATTGGTAACTACATGGGAACTACTTTTATTGTATTTTCAAAATAATCAGCTGTATAAAGAAATAGTTAAATGTTTGGTCAAGTTAATTATAATTTGGTGGAGGACTTGGCAGCAATGTCCAAATAAAACACCACAATAAAACGTTGAAGTTTACATAATAGATTATAAGGTAGAATGAGTTAAAATAAAGAAAGAAAAATTTGGCGAGTTGTTATTTGCATTTAATAAAAGCTATCACGCATTCCAGTGTAAACATAAGGAAAAACTTTCAATGAGCAGAGTGCAAGAAAATATTTTCAGTTTATTCAAAAATGCATTTGTGTTAAAAATTATGTTTACCAGTTGCGACATATTCTGGAGCTGCGTATCCGTAAGTTCCAATAATACGTGTGGTTACGTGGGAGTTTCCATTCATAGGCCCCATCTTTACCAGTCCAAAATCTGAAAGTTTCGCATTGTAGGCCTAGAAAACAAAATTTCCATGAAAAAAAGTCAATAAAAAGGAAAAGAAGGACAACAAAAAAATCAAGGGTGTTTACAAATGTCAATTTCAAAATTTATGTTTCATTCTATATACACGTACCGGATCCAGCAAAATATTGGAGGCCTTAAAGTCACGGTAAATGACTTTTTCTGAGTTGTGCAGATAAGCAAGGCCTCGTGCAGCTCCAATTGCTATCTTTAGTCTTATTTCCCATGGAAGTGGTTCTTGACCTTCTGTACAATTATCATTCTCTTGTTAATTTGTTTTGTTAATTTGTTATGAGTAATGCTAGAGAGATTAAAATTGTAGATAAAGTTTTGAAAATTAAAGGACATGGAAGTTGATGATTGATTTATTACTTATACGCTGATAAACATGGTTATTTTTATTAGTAGCACATCATTCAGTTTGCAAATTTAGTTTGCAAATTTGATTTTCCTAGAGCATTACTGCCTACTTTTTGACTTTCCATACGAAGAATGAGTAGACCAAAAAAGACATGCATGTAATTACAGCATTTTAACTAGTAAATGTGTAGGATAATGCTAGCGATACCAACTATTTAGACTAAATTTTGTAAATTATATGATGTGGTTATTGATTATTAAATTATTATTTAAGTATTAATTAACGTACTTATTTCATATTTTTAACACATCATATGGTTGGCTATATATATATTAATCTTACTTCTGAAAAGGTGGTTTTCCAAGCTGCCTTTCTGCATATATTCGTAGACGAGAAGGAATTGGTTTTCTTCACAGCAATGTCCCAGCAGCCTAACGAGGTTTGGATGACGACACTTCCCCAAGAAATTCACCTCCGCCTGCATATATATATACCAACTTAACTATTTATCAGTCTCTGCTAATAATTTATATATTTTCATGCAAATGCTAATATATATTTTGTGTTTATGAATGGAAGACCAAGACCAAAGCTAATAATGATTCATCACCCACTAGTACTACAGCTACCTTAAAAATTGAAGTATGCAATCACGGAAGCCATACGTGCTCGATCCACTATATACATTACCCCTTTTTTTGTGATTGGAATCACTTTTTCTATGTTAGCTAGAGGGGTTTGATAACCATTTTATTTTTATTTTATTTTTTTAAAATTGAAAATTTGTTTGTAATTGTTTTTAACAGAGAACTGAAAATTTTGTAAGTTTTCAAAATTCGGTTTGATTTTAATTTTCAGATATTTTTTTTAAATGAAAATAATTGCCAAACAAATTTCCAAAACTTAAAATTGAAATGATTTTAGTAACAATGACATCATGTGCCTAATGGTTCAGGCCATGTCTACCATGAAGAGAAACAATTAACTCAAATGTATGGTGCCTGCCATATGCTTAATTAAGCCATACTAAATAATACTAAGCATATGATCATGTCAAGTTACACACACACACACACACACATATATATATAATATTAAAATCATACAAATTAATTTTACTCGGCCGGCAAAAGTAAGCGTTTAGCTAGTATCCAAAAATATTGTGTATATAAATATGTGCATTAGTAACTTCAAAAAAAGTGGGCATTATATTACTATCTATCGTTACACCCTAGCTAAATAAAAAAGTAAAATAAAATTACTTGCCTGCCATTCTTGGTGACCTTGATAGCTATCTGAGCTGGACTTCTTGACTGCGACGGCCAAGCCGACGCCTCCCTTTGATGGGGCATACGTTGAGGCATCGACCCAGCCCTTGAAAACCCTTCCGAAACCTCCCTCTCCTAGTATTGTATCTGGTCGGAAATTTTGAGTACACTTCTTCAGCTCTGCTAACGTGAACTCTTTCAACTTTGGTATACTTTCGATTGGAGCAGCTGTAGCTGCCGCATCAGGAGGAGGAGGAGCCACACCTCCAGCTGCTTCAGCATAATTATTTCTGCTGATGGTTTTGCTTAATATCACTTGTGCCTTGCTTTCACTTCTCTCCGTTGTTCCACCAGTATTTCTTTTGCCACTAATATTCCTTGCAACTTTTGTGGTGCTGGTCACACTTTTTCCAACGAATCCATTTTTCTTGTTATCGTATCTCGATGCTACTGCAAATATATATATATATATATATATATATATGTTTATAAACGTGCATGTAAATAAATCCTATTAAATAAATTCGCGTTAATAAGCACTTAAAGTGGAAACCAAACAACTCTTCCTGGCAACCAAACATAAAACGAGGAAAGAAGCAATTGAAGAATTACTTTGGAGGGGAATATTAGCAGTAAATATGCATGCGCGCGCGCACACACACACATACAGATACCTGAGGTAGGCAGCTTGGTTGTAGATGATGGGCTATGATTAGTCACTGGAGATCCGTAACAGTTTCCCATGGCGAGCGAGTTATCGACTGATAATTACTCTCGATCTCTCTGATCGAAGGCACGTTGACCTTCAAGTGTACCCAGCTAGAGGAGGTAGCTACTTAATTTGATCCAGATATATGTTGATGCGGTCGTCTGGTGTCTGTCTCCAATTCCTGGAAAGAGTGGGAGAAGCAACAAAGAAATAGTCAAAGCAAGAAAAGACTGGCTACCTATATACGTAATATGTACGTATGTGGGACTTTTTCCTTTGGACTTTTTCCTCTGGACTTTTGCACACACACAGAGACAGATGCGTTAATATTTTTATACACAACGAATATTATTTACACAGTATTGAGGGAGAAAAGGTAATATATTTTTCTTAAAAATTGGAATGAAAGCTCAGGCTATTAGAGAATTAAGACCACATGATAAACTGGTGGAATTATACGTGAGGCAGGTCAATGGCAGAGTCACGCAGACCAATCACTGTACCTCAATTTCTTCATTCATTGGGCCGGTTGTCGATCGGGATTAATCAACAATGTCTACAATATCTAATGAGTGGAGATACACTTATTACATTTTTTTTTTTTATATCTGATATGGTCATATAAAATTAGGGGTGGAAAAAGATACCGAATATTCCAAACTAAACCGAAAAAATCCCGAAACTGAATAAAAAAAATACCAAACCGAAAATCCCGAAAATTTCGGTACCCAATACCGAACCGATCCCGAAATTTCAGTACGAGAATCGGTCTCACATTTTCATTCTTTCGATAATCCCGAACTAAACCGAAATAAAAAATATATATATAATTTAATTTTAAATATATATTTGGAATTGTAACAACCATCGGATTTGATTGAGATTTAATCTTAATCGTTGAATAAAAATCAAACCCTTAGAACTCAGTCACTCTCTCTCTCCGTCTCTCGACTCGACCTCACCTCAAACCTTACCTCATCACCCTCCTCCCTGATTTCTCTCTCTGTCTTCGAATCTGGCCACACCCACATCACATAAATAACTCACCTATCTCTTGACTGACCTATCACCTCTCTAATATCTCTCTCTCGACTTCTCATCCCTCATTGTGGAGAAGCCTTCCTTCACGACACAGAGGCAAAGCCACGGCCACCAGTGCCGCTCACCTCTCTGATCTCTCTCTTCGACTTCTTCATCCAGATTCCAGTGCACTGTGCACCGATTCTTCCCCAAATTAGGTAAATTTTGGAATTAATTTAGGGTTGGAATTTAATTTAGGGTTCGAATTCTAGATTAAGGTTTGTGAACTTTAGCACTTAGAAGATACTGATATAGAGGTTGATGATTTATGATTTATACAATTAGCCTTTACCAAGCAGAGTAAAGAAAGAGATCGTTGAAACTTGAACCTGAGTTTAAAGATTTGGTATGTCACAAATCATCTCTCAAACTCAACTTTTTTTGGTCCATTATTTGATTTAGCTTCTTGTTTGGTTATGGGAAATTAAGATTTGATGTTAATGCTGATTATATATTCAGATGTGGAGAAGGATATTTCAAATTGTATATATGATATATGTTCGATAATTACATCGAAAAATTAAGAAGAATTCTTGCATTTTTGTTGCTGATGTGGTTGAATTAGCATTGAAAAAAATTGTGCTTGGGTGAATTGGAGCCCTAGATTTTGTTATTTTGCGTAATAGTTGTGCTGAGTTTGTGTTGCCAAGTTCGTGTTTTGAGGGTCATGAAGTAGAAGATATGTAATGGGAGTTAAGCGGTTTAGTGTAATCCAATTGATGTTGCATTATGCTTAAACAATGATGTACACGACTCCGATGTTTTGATTCTTGGAAGTTGAAACTTTTGCTAAAACTTCTAATGTTTTATGGTATCTTTATTGAAAATTTTAGTGCTAGTAGGTAATTGAAAACTGGTATACGTTATATGTTTGATAATATGTTCTTGGATAGATTTTTTCTCTCCCTTCCTTCTTGTTTGCATAATCGCATTTGAAATTCTCTAGCTTATGAGTCTTCATTGTTTATTATGTGGGTAGAGCAATTGGTGGCTCAAAATAGATTGCATTGGCTTTTGGGTCTTCATTGTTTATTATGTGGGTATGAAGTTAAAGGCTCAAAATAGATTGCATTGGTGGCTCAAAATAGATTGCACAAACACACATATGACATATTTGTATGTATGACAGATTGGTATTAACGAAATTGGGCTGAAAATTTCAATATAAAAGGCTAAATTTTAGCCCAAAAGCCCAATATGTCAAGTTTCAGCCCAAAAGCCCAAAATCAAAATTTAATCCCAATTTGTCCCGAAATCTAGAAACTATTTTGGGATTCTCAAAAATTTGGTTTTGGAGTGGTCTTGAAATTGGGATCCCCAAAAATTTTGGTTTGGGAATTGGGATATGGTTTTCGGTTCGGTATCCCATACCGAACCAGCCCTCTAAAAAATAGAAAATACTTGAAGGAAAATAATTTTCACATTCTTATTTTCACTCATCGCAAACTCAATTCTTTTATGGTTGTTGGATTAAAAAAAATAAAAAAGTAATAAGGCTGTTGTATTTAATATTTAACATTGTGTGATTGTGTGAATTCTTAATAGATTTGGTTTAAGATTCCTATGCAATATAGTAATTTTTCCTGTAGCATCCCACATCGCCTAGGAGAGTGGATCATGTAAGCCTTATATGTATATTCTCATCTTTACCTAGCATAAGGCATTTTGGGAGCTCATTGCTTCGGGTTCCATCGGAACTCCGAAGTTAAGCGAGTTCACGCGAGAGTAATCCCATGATGGGTGACCCACTGGGAAGTTCTCATGTGAGTTCCTAGAAACAAAATCGTGAGGGCATGGTCGGGGCCCAAAGAGGACAATATCATGCTACGGTGGAGTCGAGCTGGATGTGGTGGGGGCCCAGGTCGAGATGTGACAATTTGATATCAGAGCCAGTTTCTGGCCAGTGTTGTGCTGACGAGGACGTCAGGCCCCTAAAGAGGGGTGGATTGTAACATCTTACATCACCCAGGGGAGTGGATCCTATAAGCCTTATATATATAAATTCCCATCTCTACCTAGCACGAGGCCTTTTGGGAGCTCATTGGTTTCGGGTTTCATCGGAACTTCGAAGATAAGCGAGTTCGTGCAAGACCAATCCCATGATGGGTGAACCATTGGGAAGTTCTTGTGTGAGTTCCTAGAAACAAAACCGTGAGGGCGTGGTCGGGGCCCAAAGCGAACAATATCGTGCTACGGTGAAGTCGAGCTGGGATGTGGTGGGGGCCCGGGCTGGGATGTGACATTTCCTATTAGGCTTAGGGCTGGTTTGGTATTGTTGTGCTTTGAAAAAAAGCTATTGTTAGAATAAGCGACTGTGCTGTGAGAATAAGCGGCTGTGAAATAAATCAGCAGAGTGTTTGGTAAACTTTTTTGTAAAAGTGCTTTTGGAAAAAAAAAGCAGTCTGATTGTGGGTCTTTTCATTAAAGGAGCACTGTAGCTCCGTGTGCTTTGAAAAAAAACCAGTTTTCCAAAGCTGCAAATAGCAGCTTCAGCTTTTTCCTTTGATTTCAGCTTATTCTCACAGCAGCTTCCAAAATAAGTCTTTTTTTTTAGTTTACCAAACACCTAAAACCCTCACAGCATTTTTTCATGGGTGCTTTTTGTTTAAGCACCTCACTCCCAAACCACCCCTTAGTATTATTTGGAGAGTAAATTTCTCTATCCTCATGGTTTACTATGAATAAATGCACTGGCAGAGGGAAATATCATCCTACTATTTCCCTAAACCCTACTCTCTATCCTCTTTCTTTACCGCACCTATCTATCTCTTTAGTAAATTGGCCATAACACGTTATCAAGTATGCTTCTAACACTGCGCTAAGGAATCTGAAGGGTATTTTCTGCTACAACCAGTTCACAATTCTCATCATGCAATCTAGATTCTTATAAAACACGAACTAAATTGTTAATATTTTCAGCATTGATTGCATGAAACGTTCACCATGATGAATGCCCCAACTTTTACGCATTTCGAATTATAGATTTTGCTTAAATTGTGTTTGCATTATTTATACATATATTATATGGTGAATTGATGAATGTGAAAGTGAAAAAAAAAAAGCAAACAAAAAAAGTTAGGGTTTTGAGCCAAGCTACAACCTGTAGTTGTTTGCATCATTGAGCCAAGCTGATCCACTCAATCCAGAACCAAAATGACACCTTTGGGTGTCATCCCTGATAGAGTTTGTGATTTTATATGGGTTTGTGATTTTTATGAAGTATCAGAGCACGAAATCAAAACAGAAATCAATGAGATTATGATCTCTACTCAGAGAGCATGAAGGAATGAAGGTGCGAAGAAGGTGAAGAGATTTCTCCCTTGGATTCTATTAAGCTATAACTGAATTGATACATCTAGAAGCATAGAGTGGAGGGTGAGATATAGCCATTGAAGGCGCACTCACTCATCCACCTCATACACACTCACGTGCACAACACATGGTCACCTATATGTGAGTTGTTATGCCATGTGGCACACATCTAGCCTATTAGCTTTGATTTAATCTGAGCCCTACATTACAAACTAAGGGTAAGAAACTTGAATCGAAAAGCGGCTGCAAAGCTTAAACATCAACACTCTCCTCTAAGCTGGCAGCTGATTTGACTCCTAGCATCTATCTGAAGTAGTTGAACATCTCCTTTGGTAGGGCCTTAGTCAAGATATCTGCCATTTGTTCTTCAGATTTGCAGTAAACAAGCTTAATCTTCTTCTCTTGTATTGCATCTCTGATGAAGTGAAATTTTCTGCTGATGTGTCTTGTTTTCTGATGAAACATTGGATTCTTGGCAATAGCTATTGTTGAAGTGTTATCACACATTACCACAGTAGGTTCAACCTGTTCTTCCTCGAAATCTTCTAAAACAAACCTCACCCACTTGGCCTGAGATGTTGCTTCAGCAGCACTTACATATTCAGCTTGTGCAGTGGACAATGCCACTGTGTTTTGTTTGATTGATGCCCAAGAGAACACACCCGAGCCAAGACTGAAAGCATACCCTGATATGCTTCTTATGTCATCAACACTCCCAGCCCAGTCACTGTCACAATATCCAATAAGAAGTGCTGTCTTACCTGTTACATATTCAATGCCAAAGTCCATAGTACCTTCAATGTATCTCAGTACTCTTATT